TCAGAAAATACCTGTAACCATTAACTGATTGTCCTAATAATTTATGTGACAAAATTTTTAAAAGCATACTGTATTTTTTAAAGGGTGATAACGGAATGTTCCACCCGCCTACTCTAACGGTTTACGCTGGCTGGTCAGTTAGCCTATCTTGACAAATTCTCCAAGAATTTGTCATTAAGTCATGCTTTAGTTTCCAGGGGGAACAGTGTGGAGTTAAACCTGATGTATGTATGTATCATACATTGCTAGCAATGGCGTCAACAGTCCACGTTACTAACAACAGCATACTGTTATCCCAGATGGTATAGTCACTACTTTCTTTTAATAATCTAATGTTGATCTTTACAACTTCACCGAATGAAAAAGGCCAGGGTAGATGGTACTGCCATTGCGGGAAAGGGTTTATAGAGCAGCGAGTTGATATTAAACTCATTATACCTACAACTTCTATTCGTGATAGAGATCGGCCCAAGTTGTAGGAATTGCAAATCCTATTCATTTTTAGGGGATTTGCATCTTAAAACAAAGACATAGCAGCATAGCATTATGTTTTTTATGTTAATAAGTAGGTCAATAAAAAAATATTGTCTTAGGAACAAACAAATAAATACAACAATAATACTTTTCGATTCTTTTTACATTGTACTGAAGTCCTTATTGAATACATTAAACCCTAAAAACAAATTATGTATCCGTTGTATTCATTTTAAATGTCATGAGTCGTCAGTTGTCATCCGGTGGAACGTGCGTCCCACATTATATATTTAACAATACATAGTAACAGTAATTAGTAGTTTAATAGGTAAATACCTGTGCCGACATCACCAAGAAATAGAATAGAATATAAATAATCTTTAATTAAATAAACTTAGTATAAACATTTTTGAAAAGTCATATACTTTTTATCCTACGACTAATTCGGAACGCAGGCTCATCGCGGGAAGAATGAGTAAGAAACTGGCGTGCTCTATTACATGAATGTTATTTAAGAAGAAGGAAGCATGCGATAATCCACATAGAAACCGCTATGTACTCATAGACATATAAAAATATCCCATATCATTTATCACTCTTAAGTTTTATAATAAGCCTATAAAAGGTCTTTTATAATTCCTTTAAATCATTATTTAGGTAGGATTAAGATACACTCTGGCAGTTTGTTGTCAAACCTTACACAATTCCCATAAAACCAAATACTAACTTAACAAGTACTCATATCTTTGTGAATTTTATATATTAGTAAAATATTTGTGTATCCTATATCCCTCTAATACTAACTATACTACTATACTATTATATTAACTATACTATTATACTACTATACTAATAATTTAATAGAGATAATACTGTGCCAACATAAATATTAATGTTTGTATATAGCACACAAGCTGACGACCCACCATAGCAAATGTTCACCAAAGCCCACTTACATGAACAGCATCACGTTATTACGTGACAGTCGCAATTTATTTATTTTATTAATTTAATTCAGGCCCGTATTATAAATATCTTATAGACTAATATACATGAGAATTAATAGTAAAATATAGGTTCAAATTGTCTCTATGGTCAGGGCACTGAGGACGGCAATCTGCCACGGTAGCGGCGCTAGGTAGTATAGGCCTATACTAGTCCTTCATGAAAGTGGGCAGCATGTTGTTCCTGGGCCACGAACGCTTTGAAGCTCGCATCGTGATTTGTTTCCAGCTACGTCATCCTCAATATCAGGTTACTTTTGGTCCGGATATAGCCACAATGTCCTGTTCCGCAATACTAGATACATGCTATGATAAGACATATTTGATCTCCGAAATAACTACTATTTCGGAGATCAAATATGTCTTATCATGAAATTTCACTGCCTAACCTCAGCCTATAACCGTTAAGAAAGCTTACAGCTGCTGAATATCTGAAATATGTGAGAGTGATACGCAGACTATTTCTTACAAAGACCACCACTGTAAAACTCGAAATCAACTATCGAAAAGTAAAGCATGTGTTATATCGCTACATCACCGAGGTCATACAAAATGCTACATGCATCTGTGGTTTAACCTTACAAAACCTATCTAGTAAACCTACCTAACTAATAAGTAGTTGTAGTAACTTGCCTTGTAAATACAAATGTGAAAACCGCATGCAATTCCATGTTATTTTAATTTACATACACAAACATACATTATATATACAGATTATAGAAACATTTTTACATTCTAACTCCCTGTTCGAATAAACATTCTGTGCTTAAGAGAATGAAACCGAAATTACCTCTATACAATATTGAAACGTAATTCTAAAACAGTTTTTCATAAAGAAAAATTAGGTTCGAAGTTAAATACTAACTTCTAACCTAATTTTTCTTTATAAGAAACCTTTAAAATGAAAACAGCAAATCCCTTATAAAATATGCAATACCTACTTAAAAAAAGTGGGCCTAAAACTGCAGATTTTGACTTATTTAAACTTTAAATAATAAATGAGCTGTACATATTTTTTTCGTCGTGTTTTTAGTGCACATATACCATTCAATTGCATTTATTATTATTGCATTGCATTTATAAGTGAAAATCGTATTCTATCTCCGAGTATGATTTGTATGCATTTATCTTCGGTTCGAGTTTATCTTAATGGAAACATTTTCTGGGTCACATTATAAGTTCAAGAGATTCTTAAACGTATAGTACATTGAAAACATTAGTTGAAAATCGTAATAGATCTTAGAACCGAACTTGAAGTTACAGTGTAGGTAAAATTTCCTTCTATGGACATTAACGTCTGTATTGATTTTATTTATGATATACTTGAAAGGCCTTGGTTTTCCTTTAACAAAAAATAATTAGTTAACGGTATATTTCTTATATATATTCGCCTCATAATCAGGAGGTATGCAATTTACAATTTTTTTACACACAAAATATAAACCGAATATTAAATGTTATATCATTTCACGTAGAGTTGTTACTCTACAATACGTAGGGTATTCATTGTTTTCCAAACTATTATACCTGTCAGCCGCAGCTACCCTTTACGGCTTCACTACACGAACATGGAGGCAAGTGCTGAGTACACTCCAAACCCGCGGAAGTACTTATGGAGCGGCTGAAGGCCAACTCCTTACAGATACAACCTTATTAAGAACACCACTAGGGGCTCGTTCGTTAATAATGATTGCCATTCCAATAGGATAGAGATTCGAGGTAAAATGGTCAAAGTGAAATGAAGTGATCATCATCAACAACATCTGTTATATTTTGTAAAGGAAACTAAAATAGTCATTTACAGTTGATAAAAGTTTACACAAGCATTCTAATTCCTTTTAGCTCCGTCCTACTTTATGTCGGGGATCGGGTCTCCTAATTTTTCCGCAGCGATAAGCTTGCTCATGCTGGTCCACCAGGTGTCTGGAGAACGTTCAGATATTCTTAAGGCTTAAGTATACCTGTACGCAAGCATTAAAGATGGAAAACAAAATGTGTAATTAGTACTGCTTACAAAAACTGTTCCCTAAGAAACTTAATTATATTACATTTATTTATATTTATCAACAATCCTAATTAAACTAAGAAATTCCAATCTAGATTAATACAAGTAATTATATATTATGAGTTATTATGGTATCTAAATAAAAAAAGATAACTACATTGTAAGTCCTTCAATTAATTTTCTATCACACACAACTTTAACATACATATCATAATTTTCCTGTTATTAACATAAATAGTTTATCGGGAGTTAACACGTGTCACTTTATGAGCTTCGGAATCTCGGCCCATCATTCTCTGCTGCGATGCTGCGTTTAAATAAAGAAATAACCGTGGACAATTAATACAATGCCATCTAGTCTAGTCTAGAGTTTGTGTTATGGATTTAGATTTTTTTTGTAAATACATACATAATATACATAGAAAACACCCTAATCGATACAAACAATCATATTCATAAATATCAAATTTTGCACCGGTGAAGAATCAAACCCGCGACCATCGAAAGTAAAGCGGTGTGTTAACTGCTAGACCGCCGAGGTCGTCGTCGCTTAGGCTATTGCAACCTACTATTCTTTTATAACTAAGAAGCTGGTTACCGACGCCTATATACACACATGAGCTGCGAACATCACGTTACCATGTGACACCCGTGATATCACTCATGCGTAACCATTATAGAGGATTAAAACGTCATGCTTTCTATGCTGTATTTTCTTGCCGTTATCTCTTCAACCGAAACATAAAGCAAGCTACTTGTAGACTTATATGTATGTATATATGAGACTGAGGTAGTCTTATGGTTTGTTAGCCAAAGTTACCATGAATTTATTATGATTCCAGGGAGAACCACCTGGTCAACCTGACATGGTACATTGCTATCAATGAAGTTATCAGTCCATATTACTAACAATCCTCTTTCTTCCAGACTGAGGTAGTCACGCAGACGACTTTCTACAGTATCCACTAAACAATTCTTATTCAGGATAAATTTAAATATTTCATGAAAAGAAATCGTATAATAAGATATAAAGAAATCGTGTACCTTGAAAAAACGATCTATTTTATTTATATGCAAAAATTCCTTAAAGTTTTATATTATTTAATACCCAAAGACAAAGAAATTCATTTACACAGTATTTTAAGTAAGGAACCCTCAGTATATCATCTTTTCCTAGCCCCAACTCGTGCATAACCGGTTTTTCTTATCACAAGTCCTTAAGTACATACAATGCCAATAACTAAATTGGGCTATTTATTTTCAAACGTCCTTCAGCATAAACAAATACATGTAGTTTAAATGCTTTTATGTTATTTAATACCTAATTAAGGTTGTTAAGAGCCACACATAATATTATTGATATTGCAGGTCATTGTTAGTGTATAATCAAATTCCACACGACTATGAAACTAAGCATGAAAGAACTTGCAGTCTTTAAATGGTAGCCACTGAACGCGCTCGCGTTTCACGCACCTTACTCTATACAAAACGTAATCGCGGCAAATATAATTCTGCGAACAAAACGATATTTTAAATAAATATTATACATAGTGTTTTAGTAAAAACTTTTGTGTTAATAGTTATCAATTAAAATGACTAGTGTACTGAAAACACTGCAGGGTGTAAGAAGGAAGATGAAAGAGTCTGATAATCAATGCAGGACGCTGCAGGTGACCATGCCAAATCTTTCGCATACCCCAGCAGATATAGAGTTCAACATTACTCTGAAAGTGTCTCAAGGGATGATGTCTAAAAGTAAGTCGATATATTTTTCCATTTTATTATTATATTCCTTGAATAGATTTCCTGCATGATCAAGTTTGATACAATGTACAGTATTTTTTTTATATGCGCAATAATGCACATGTCTCTTTATAAGAACCCGTGTTTAGTAGGTATATTACGCATATTGTTTACTCGTGTAAGTTATATTCCATTCAAAAAAATTAATATTGTCCCTAAAATCCATAACTAAACAAAATTACTAAACACATACTTTCTATATATTAGAAATATATACTGATAAATATAGGAAAAGGCCTAAAATGTTTATAATTTATTTTTGAACTCCTCAAATCTGGTACATTTGTCGAAGTTTAGTGACACAGCAATTTTTATAATATCTTCAATATTTTCAGGGTATTGTAGAAAATCAAAATGATAATTAAACAGGTCTACAAAGTCTAACAATATAGATACTCTTGAATAAAACTATGACATAGAGTTTGTGTTCATTTTGATTTCTTTCCATCGGTGATAGATAATAATCTTAATAAATGGGTTTAGGTAGCAAACTCTGAAAAAGGGCGAGCATAATAGATCTATATAGTTAGCATTGCTACAGGTCTAAGCACATGACAATAGCCCAAACACCCCAATAAAAAAATGAAGTTATTTATACAAAAAAAATAATAATGACGGACATTTTAGTTATTTCTGCAAGCCAAGATCTCTGTATTAATATATTTTTCCTTGCCGACGTAGAGTACAGTTATGTGTTCAAAACATGTTTTTAAAATTGTTTTCAAGATTCTTTATTTGTTTTAAATTTTATTTAGCGTTTTGGATAAAGGCTGTAAACAATGCATAAAACCTTTCCGAATTTATAACAACAGCATTTGTTAATTGTTGTTGAACCCTGATAGATTAACGTCCGTACGTGCTTTCTAATAACAATTTTTTTGTTCTTAAGATTACGTATTGAAACCCTAAAAACACAGAATTAACTCTGTAATTGTAGTTGTTGTTGTTGTAACATAATTCTGAATGTATCCTTGAACATTAAAATTTATCTAATCTATTCATCTATTTTATCTGTTTGAAAATTTTTCCAGATTTTATTTTTATTTGATGCATAGCAGGACTTTGATAAGATTACCTATCTCCCGATATATATATACTAACCTATATGTATGATAATTGTAATTAAAATATAAATTTCGTACGTCCATACATTGTCATGTATAGAAGATAAAAAGAACTAAAAGAACGATGTTTTGTCGCAAAATACTATATACACATATATGTTTATAATATAAAATATATATGTTTATAATATAAAATATAAATATATATATATTAAATGCATACATACAATACTTGCTGAATTATATCGCTATGAAAGAGACGAATCAGCAAATCGAGATAGAGACACCTCACCGGTTCCACCCACATACAAGTTTTTTACTACAGACCTTTTTATACATAACAAATTTATTTTTAGTAATCAAAACAACATTCCGTAATTCACAGTCAATGATAATGATAAGCCGACAGGAACATTGTAGCTAATAAACCTGATGTCATCCGAAGGAACCGGTTCAATACAAGGATAGGGATGTTTTAATACAAAAAAATACTCGATACTTTCGTACCAAGTATTTTTGACTTCAAATCCATATTGCGATACTACTCGATAGTCGTATTTTTAGAAAAATTGATGAATATTTAGTGAAAAGAAACTTCATTATTTCGGAATAAAAAAATAAACCTTATGTTTTTATTTTTTGTACTACTACCTAAAAAGTCATTGAAAATATAGTTAACCGGGTCTTAACAGATATATCGTGACCACGGCTACTGTAACCCAGTTGATATGTCGAGAGAGGTAATCTTGGTTACCATAAAATTATTTGTGTTCAGAGCGGCTTCTTTATATCAATAATTTATTAAGAACACGAAAGTTAATAATGATAGGACTCAATACCTAATTACGTAGACAGAGGTCATTCAAAATGCAAAATGACAGGATAATTGGATACCGTTTAATTCTTTTTATATTCCTATAAAGCAGTTCAAAAGGCATAGATATGAGTAAGTTGTCGATACTTTCGGTGTACTCATCGTAATGTACTCATGTATTATGGAAAGATGATTTTAATAGTACTTAAATACTTAATTACGGTACCGATACCTAGTATCGATACATCCCTAACACCAGACGGCGCTCGTCGATTTTACCGTTCTGTTTTACCAGAATCTCGTGCAAAAAAAAGGACGAATTCAGTACCTTGACCTTCAGAGATTCGCGCCATGTGTATTATATTAATTGTAATCGATTGTTAAATTGACGATCATTGTTTCGATAATTGTATCAGTTAATGATCTTAACAAGTTCTTCGTTAACAACTAATGATTTGACTCGTGGAGCGCATTCAGAAGACAGAATTCCTTAACACAGTGTGTAATTGTCAGTATATTCTTGATTCTGTGTTGTTAATGTATATCCTTATTTTGGGAAGGAACTTACTCTAGGTATACGGCTTATGCTAGCTTGTGAGTTAGGACTTTACACTGTTGAAGGTTTAAATAAATAAATAACGGAATAGCCCGCCAGCGTAAACCGTTAATGCAAGCGGTGCATGTGCACTTGCACTAACGGTTTTGCTGCAAGGGCTGGACACCAGTGGAGGATGATAAGATGAACATGAGGTCAGATCAGTTAGGTCATCGTAACAGATTCACCAGAATTTTCTCATTGATGAAGTATGAATTTGAAAGTATGGTGCTATCCGTATATGCGAGAACGCCATTGCCTTTTCCTGATACTAAGGATTATTGTCCCATAAGGTCAGTTATAAGACTACAGTAATCAAGAGAATTTGGACCCATGGGGAATTTCTTATAGATGATAATGGTGCACCCGACTGCGCTAACGATTTACGCTGGCAGATCACCAGTGGAGGATGATAAGATCAATAGGTCAGGTAATCAAGAGGTCAGCTAGGCCAAATCTAATAGGATGATTTCCAGAGGGAACCGCGTGGAAGTCAACCTGACATAATACATTGCTAGCATTGGACTCATCAGTCCACATCACTCAACAACACCCTTCCCCCACCACACTAATATTATAAATTTGTGTGTACAAACGTACAAGGTAAAAGGTAACCAGTTGACAAACTGTCAACTGGTTACCTTTTACCTACTAAACGGCTGAATGGATCTTATTGATATATGGCATGAAAATAGATCTATGAAAATACATGTATTACGGGGATGGACATAGGCAATCTTTTATCTCTAATATAAAAGGTATGCAATTTTGAAAAATCCTGATTTGTTGGCAGGCAATATTAATAAATCAATGAATCATATCGACAGACAAGTCGTAATATAACTTGTAAATACACAGGTATATTGTGTACAATATAGGTATAAAATTTTATTTATTGCAATACAAACAATGCAACGCAAGCAATTCTTTTAAGGTAATCAATTTTTGTTAGGTAATCTGTAATATACACCACATTACAGCGAATTACCTAACAGTAATTGATTAAATATAAATAATTGATTATACGTTTTAGGTTTTACACATATATGAATACCTAATTCTTATTAATAATCATAATTAAATTTATTTATAATTATAATGATGTACCCGCGGTTTCACCCACGCGAAATTTATAGCCTATATTTTATTCTGATGTATAAGCTATATTATTGCAAAGTTTCATTAAAATCTATTCGGTGATTTTTACATGAATGAGTAACAAACATCCATCCGCACACAAACTTTCTCGTGTATAATATTAGTAAGTTTTTTTCTCAATAACATAAAAGAAAAGATTGTGTGAACACACAGAACTGACCTTTTCGTTTTATTCTGGTAGGGACCCCTAAAAATTACTTGACGGAACAATATTTCTGATAATTATGTTAATATATCTAATCTGTACATTTTTCTGTCCGTCCGCGAATTTTCCGGATTTAGGTATGTTGATGAGCAAACAATGGATAAGATTACCTATCTGGTAATCTATTTACTTATACAAAAAAGTATGTTTTGTTTGTCGGTACATTATTTAATTTGCAAGAAAAACCAAGAATATATAATTCAAATAGTGCGCATTGTTTGTTAGGTATGCTTGTTGACAATGAACCTAAGGAAAATTTTTACTTGTATATTATATAGAGGAAAATTCGTAAATTTGGATGTTCGGTCTATACTCCAGAACTCAGTAGTACCAGAGACGACCGATCCGATTTTCAAAATTCGTGTTCCTTAACACATTTATCCAAGGAAGTCTATAGGCTATATAACATCACGCTATGGTCAATAGGAGCGGAGCTGCAAAGAAAAATATTGTAGTAATTAGAAAATGTGACGAATAGTTTAGGTAGTAAATGTAAATTATAGTAAAATCATATATAAAAAACTATCTATCTATGTTATATAAAACAAACACACAAAAATGGTATGAAAAGCATTTGCTTTTATCGCCATCGTAATTATAAATACAATTTAAATGATACGTACAATGACTAATATTATTAATAAATACTTTGTTATTTTTATAACTAAAAAAACTAATTATCGATCGTGATATATATTATTATATAATTTAGATATCGATCACCTTGACTTATGTTGAATGCAGCTCCTTATATAACTCGTAGTATTTTATGTTTATTTTTATTTGTATCGAAAAATCTGTCTCAGGCGATAACATCTTTTTTTAATAATTGTAGGTGCTAGAAGTTCGTAAAATATAGAGAACAACACTATTTAATTCAATTTTTTTATTTCGTGGTATCTCTATTTACTTTGAAAACAACACTAATTCATTTTCGTGGGAATATGGTCTCTCTATTTGTTTTCATTTTTTTACACTAATCGTTTCAGAATAAAATTGTTATTAAATGAAGTAGGTATATTATGTCACGCGATTCCTTGTGAGCAGTAAAATAAAGATTATTATAATATATTACTTACTAATTTGTCAATAACATATTGTTAACACACACAAACG